AGTGGGACTGCATTTGAGAGCAAGGAGGCAGCAGTTACATTCTGTCTCCTTTCTCTGTATGGATTCTCCCCTCGCTGTCTCAGCACACAACACTTTGGCTTGCAGCCTTGGAGGATGATATTCAGCACAGTGATTGTCAGAGGAGTGGGATTTGTGGTGACTGAGATTCTTGAAGCAGGTCTAAATCCTGCTGGCTTGCAAAGAGAGTAAATTCTAAAGGGTCACAAATGCTGAGGCCACTTGGGAGCTTCAGCCATCTTACCAGACTTGAAACTGTGAGAACAGCTATAGGAATCAGCCTTGAAGAGACCAAAGGTGTCAGCTTGTCCTACATTAGAAATAGTTTCTTGGATTGGGCCCAGAAAAATAAAAATAATCTGAAGAGACTTTAATTACGTCTCCACTAGTAATAAAGCAGCATTTTCCCCCAGATTAATATGACTGATGTCCGTGTGCTATTGAGAAATGAGGGATGTCCTCAAATTGTATGAAGTGCACACTTTCGTCAGCTTCTTCTAAAAAAAAAATAAATAAGTGATAATAATAATGAAAAAGGGATTCCTATCTTTCCAGGCTATAAACTATTTCTTCCTTTAAAAAGCCTTTATAAATGTGAGTTGTCCGCCATCACTCAGTACAGGCAAGCTGGTGCCTGAAGTATCTGCACCTTTTATGTCTGCGAGGGAAGGAAAGAGCTTTGTGCAGAGAGGAATTTCAGTCTGAATCACAGCCTGGAGTTTTGTTGGAAATGCAAGAGTAGATGCAGAGGAAAAACTGAAGAGGGAAGTGCCTTGAACTCCCAAATTCCTGCATTTCCTATTAATAGAACAGTGTTTAAAGTAATGTGAAAAATTAAATCTCTCTGAGGCATTGAATCACTTGTGTTCCCACGAGTGCTCAGCATGTGTCTGTGTTCCACATCTCTCGTCAGCCATTGTCCCTCCTGTGCTGGTCCAGGCTTGCACTGCAGCAGGAGCCTCGGTGCCTCTTGCAGCCTCTCAGCTTTGGGGATTGATAGCTGGCCTCATGAAACATTTGTGTTCTCCATACTTTATTAGTCACTGACAGACTCATTGTTTATAACATACTTCTCAGCAGCTGTTTGCGACTCATCGCCCTGCTTGCTTTATAGTCTATAAATATTTAATTCTTTAATAAACTGCTTATGTGTAATATCAAATGAATGATGCACTTCTTTCCTCTCTTCAGCAGTGCTACTATTTGCAAAACAATCTTTTTTTCTTTCTTTTTGAATATCAATATCTTTCATAAATTCTTGAATTTCCTTTTCTAAACAGCAGTTTCTTCAGGGTGCTCGGTACAGTGACAAGCAGAGCAATGGTTCCTGTGGTATTATAACAGCTGCCCCTTTCTGAAGTCTCCGTGGGGACATTCACTTCACAGTGGTTGCAGATTTGCAATCAGGAGTAGTTTGGGACAGCAGTAGTCCTATTTCACAGCTGTGCATGTTAAAGAGCAGCAGCAGCCTGCACGGCCAGAACAGCCCTGCAGAAGCTGTGTGAGAGCATCCTTGGTAGTGTATGCAGAGCAGTGTGGGCATCTCGGAGTATCAATGCCTCTTGCTGCAAGCTGCATCACCACTGTGCTTCACACGTTGCTTATATGGTACAAGCTATGCTTTTCTCATCGGTAGTCTCCTTCCTGCTACATAATGGAGAGAATCTATAGAAAGAGTGGCTGATGAGATCCGCTGCGCTGGGGTCAGGAAGCCGTTGGTACGGGTGGATGGGGTGGAGCTCCTGCTCAGGTCACTGCGGCTCATGGCAGCAGCTCAGTGCCTTGCAGCACACAGGTGCTGGGCTGCTCTCTGAGGTCTGGCTGGCTGCCATACCAGTTGCATTTTGTCAGGATGGTAACGTGTCTCAGCAGGGCCTTCAAGAGTATTGTGTGGTCACAGACAGGATATTCGTATCTAACCCGAAGTCAGGCTGATGGTCAGACTTTCCCTTGTGCCTTGAATTTTTGCGTGTTTTCAACTGTGAGCACAGAGAGGCTGGATTTAGGATTCTTGCCTAGAGGTGGTACTGGTGTCATATTTTTAATCGGAGCTGGCAGACTTGCCTTGTGCTCAGATTCCCAGGTGGCTTTACAGAAGGGTGTGTGCGTGTGCTTTACAAACGCATCCGTGGAGATGCAGGAAGGAACTTGATTCAGAGAACTAATAGATGAGATCACAGTTACGAATCTCCAAGCGGTATTGGGCAGCAGTCCCCCTTTGCTATGGGTCGTTGCATCCTCTGCCTGTTAAGTCCTTAGATGAGAACCTTCCCCTTCTGTTCGAGGCTCTCGGTGCTCCCTTAGTGATAGAGTCTGCCTGAAGACCTGGTAGCTGTTTGTTCAGGGCTCTGCAGCCTGCTTTGAACAGATACTCATACCGTATCCTTGTCAGGTACGATTAAGAGACAGAGAAACCACCTCAGTCTGGTAGCTGGGGATCTGCTCAGCAGTGTTTCTAGATACTGGTGACATCGGTGTCTGCCTGCAGGATGGGAGGAGAGGACGGCACCTCTGAGAACACAGAGCGGCAGGGCAGGGCATGGGCGCTGCATCACTGCTGCTGTCCCTGGAGCAATGCACAGCAGCCTGCCACGAGCCAGCAGCAGCATCTGAACACCAACACGCGCTGCCACCCGCAAGGCTGTCATTGGGCTCCTCCTTTGTTACTGAAGCATGGCACTTAACACATTCTCCCTCCGATTTCTCTTTTCCTGCCCCCCTCCCATCGTGTATGTCGCTGAAATTTCTGAATGGAAGCAGGAAAGGGTGTAGGCAGCGAGCTCCTGGTCCTCAAGAGTCTCCAGGCAGCGAGCGTGCCTGGTGCCCCAGCTTAAGTATGAGTAATGATAAATAAGTAAATCACGCAGTGGGCTGTGCTATTCCCTAATGAGCCTGTTTGTCCCAAGCGCTGTGCAGAAAACACTCTTCTCCTTGGCAATAACCTTTCTGCGTATTAACATTATGCATGTATTCATGTGACTTCCTCTGCTTCACCACCACCTCCTTCAACTGATTTAAATAAAAATAATTTATGTGGACATTCCTTCAGTCAGGATTGCCCCCCCCAGAAATATATCGTTGATGCTGTGCACCCAAATGGGGTCGTTATGCTTTCGCATATCATTATAAAGAATTATAAAGAACAACAGCGACATCTGCATGTGCCACAGCGCTACAGAGATGGGCAAAAATAGAGAAAACAAACCCCGAATGAGCTCTGAGCTTGTCTGGCTCTGTCTTTCCTCGGTGCCTTAGCTACTACCATGGACGAAAGTAATTGTACAGCGTAATCACATCACGGCTCATCTGAATATTCATAACCGAGACAAAGACTTGGAAGAGAAGAAACATGGGGGAGGGAGGAGGAAAATTTAAATATAAAACAGCATTTCGTTTTGAAGCAAAGTTCCGCGTTCAGCTCGAGATCGTCTCGGTATCGATACTGTCTGTCTGTCTGCCATTCAAAACCAGCGGGCAGCAGAAGCATCGTGTGTGCAGCCCCCCTCCATTGGGAAAGAAAATAAAGCAAAACAACAAACAGCGATAGAAATGCCCCCAGCAAAAATGATATTTGAAGAGTCGCCAACGGTGGCGAACCAGCTGCTGTTTTACCACGAAAGAAACAGTCTATTGAGGGAGCTTTATAAAGACCCCAATTAATATGTTGTGCATGTATAAGATCTACAAAGAGCCCACTGTGTTCCTCCCCCCGCAACCACCACCACCTCGTCCCAATTGGTGCCAGTGGAGAAGGATCTGAGCTACCAAATAATTGATTAATCTCTTCGGCGGTGACAACACTCCTCTCCAAAATAAAGAGAGAAGGAAAACAAACACAAGAAGCAACTGCTTGCTAATTAATGTGTAAATTACCGCTGGTTCCATCCTTCTTTTCGTCTTCTAAAAGAAAAAGAAAAGCAAGAGAAAGAGAAATATAATTCCCATCTTAATGTATATGTTGTCTTCATTTCTTTTGTTTTACTCTGGTATCCTTCACTAGTATTAACCAAGAAGTGTGGTGTTTGTCGAAGCCGCAGCTGGCTCTGCCAGTCCGTTCCCCAAAGAGCTCCTATTTCCATTCCACTGGAGCTTGTATTCCTTTAAATGTCTAACGCAGCATCGTTTACCCCTTTCTAATACATCACTCTGCTGAAATTAGAAGAATCCGAGGTTATATCCAACTTCAAAGGTTTCCGAGTCACCATGATTTTAGGAAAAGCAGAAGACAGACCATGGAAAAAGTCCCTGCTTTTGAAGATAGGCATCACAGGGACCTTCCTCCCTCTGTCTCTTTCTCGCTCTCTCTCTCCCCCCAACTTTGTACCTCTCCAGCTCTGAACGTCCCGTGCTAACGCAGTTTAATGATATGCAAATGAAATATGCATAAAACCATTCTACTGTATGATGATTAAACACTGGAGACATTAACAGCCGACACTCCGCTGTTTGACTATAATAATCTTTCCCGAACATCCACTTTGATTGCGGAGTTATGGAAACCCATAGCAGTTGGCAGAGAGAGGGAAGGGAAGGAAGGAGGGATGCGGGGACGCATCACCCATCTCTGCATTTATCCCACTCCAAGAGACGTTTCCCCCCCTTTGTACTGCATTCCTACTGCTGTCTTTTGTAATCCATCCATGCGGTCGCACCAGGGCGATTAACGGGGAAAAAAAACCTCTTTTCTCTTAATGTTTCAAAGCTCATTAGCCAAACGATTATTCCTCATTAACAGCGAAAGCTCATTCATTAACAGAAAAAATATGCCCAAAAGATGCCAGCACTGTTAATCCTGAGCCCTGTAGCTGGGCTGTAAATCCCATGCTAGTATTTTCCATGCAGAGGGGAACCGCGCCAATCCACCAAAAAAAAAAACCAACAGCAAAAAGAAAACATTTTGTGTGTTTTGTAAAATCCGCAAGAGAGGCAATTAATATTCCCGCGGTGTGACTTTATTTTTTGTCTCTCCCTTTTGTTTCCAGTGCCCTTCCCTGGCTCAGCGCCCGGTGCCAACAGAACACCTTGCAGGATCCTCAGCAGCGCAGACAACACAACGTAAGTAGCCAGCTGTCCCTTGACGCCCTTTTCCAAAAGCCCTCCGGCCCCTGCGGAGTGTGTGCAGCTCTTTCCCTCGCTCACCCTCCGGAGTGCCACCTGGGTTTCACAAGTAGCACCTTCCAAATCTCTCTGTCTTCAAGTTTGTGCATGTCTGTGTGGCATCCCTCCTCCTCCTTCACTCCTATAGTGGATCTTGCAAAGGGCTTCAGATCGGCCCCATTCATCTCCCTGGTGATAGCACTGAATGTAGATAAATCTCTGACTGCCTGCTTGCTGCTGGAGTATGATTTTTATTTTGTCTTCCGTGTATACCTAGGTCAAAAAGTGGGATGTATGCTCATATTGTGTGTGTGTGTGTGTGTGTGTGTGAGAATGTCTCTCCCAAGCACACAAACGTACATCTCCTCACATGTGTGTAGGTATATTACACGCATGCACACAAATATATATCCCCGCACATGTATGTGTGCATGCAGCACACACACATCTCTGCACACACACACACACCCACACGTCTATCTGCAATTATCTGAGGCACTGTGTGTGTATGTGTATGTGTGTCCATACGCACACTGCTCTGTGTGTGTGTGTGTGTGTGTGTGTGTGTGCATACACAGGCATCTCGCTATCTACAAACATTCCCTCTCCTCCCAGCAGAGGCTGTGTGCAGCTGTGATCCTGCCCTATGAGAGCGGTATTCCTTCCTTCCCTCGGCGTGTTGTTGGGAAACCTTCGTGCTCCACTCTCGGGTCCCTCCCAAGTCGCAGGGCTGGCACCGCTCCCTCAGCTTGTCCGAATGGCGAATGGCACCGTCCGTCGCCCGCGTTGGTGCAGCCTCAGATGGCACTTCTCTCTGGATGTCGGCTGCTCCCTTTTGTTTGTTGTTGCCCGGGCTGGGTGTGGTGGGGCTTTTTTTGGAGTTAATTGTAAATGAACCTGAATGGCAAACACATCAACAGCTTGCGAAAAAAAGAGAGGAAAAAAAAAAAAAAAGAAAAAAAAAGCCCCTCACAAACGCCTTCTGCTGCGACAGATGCCCATGTTGCCCCTGGCACGGAGAACGGGCACGAGGGGGTTGCTGCCGAGCTTTTTTCTTTTGCTGTTCGTATTGTCCGCGCTGCCGTTTTCCCTTTATTTTTGAAGCCTCCAAGATGCCGGCCTCGGCATGGAGCGGCGCGGTGTCATGGCGGAGACGACGGCCTTTGTCTCGCGGGGTGTGAAAGCATCCGTTGTGCTGGCTCCACTGCGGCAGAATGACGTTCGAGGGGGAAACGTGCTGGAAGTCGGCGCGCTGTGCCCATAGCCGAGCGTGTCCGAGGCAGGGCTGGCGGCGGAGAGCCTCGTCTGTAATCCTGGCACTCGCGCCTCCGCTCGCTGCGCGCCGCTTGCTCCTGGGGGTCTGGATAATCTCCCTTAGCGTTACCGCACTGTCTGGCCCGCGCACAGGGCCCCCGTAACATATACCCGCTGCCGTTATCGCACGGAACTGTGGCGTTGCCACTGAATGGATGGCACTGTGCCAACTCTTCTGCCATCCGCCCTTGCAGCTTTTTTTTCTTCCCTCCTCCCTCCCTCTCTCCCCTCCTCCTCCTCCTCCCGTCGACTTGACGTTAATTAACACACGGGTTAATTGATTTTAAAAGCTGAAGAATTACAGTTAACTTTTCCCACAGGGTACAGCCGCCTGGCATGGCGCTGCTGCTCGTGCGGTGCAGGGGGGCAGGGATGCGCCCGCAGCAGAGCTGGGTGGCTGCAGAGGTTCTGTCTTTGGAGCGCGGCGGAGGGAAGCCGATGTGCGCCCGTCTCATCCTTCCCAAGATGTCACCATCGTGTTTTGCGACAAACAGTCCCAGTGCTCCCTCCCCTCTGCGCTCGATGCAGGCTCTGCTGGAGGGGCAGCAGGAGGGCAGCTCGGCCGCATGGCGGGGCTCCCATTTGCGTGAGCTGGAGGTGCTGGGGCGGGGAGCCTGGGGAACGCTGCCCTTTTCTACTCATGCTGTTTTCCAGGGCAGTTTTTGTTTCCTCAATTGGCTCCGATATGTCACTTGGGGGGAAGAATCTCAACCGGGGGAAAGTTAGATGGTCGTAATTACAGGCGAAATGCACCATGTGAGGGCTTTGTTTATTCACTTTCGCTCTGCCTTGCCCCGATCTCTGCCGGTGAATGACGGTGCGGTTGGGAGGAGACGCGGTGGGGCTGGGAACTCATTGCTTCCACCTTCTTGTGCTTTCATTTTATTTCATTTTGTTTTTTAAAAGCATGAAGCAAGTGAAGCGACAAGAGGAATCCATTATGCAAATCAGGTCACATTTGCATAATGTCTCATGACTGGAATATGCAAATGAGTTGTATAATTTATGAGTGCCAGTGTCTGTCTAAAAGTGTTTCCCAGAATTTATAAAAAGTGAGACGTGGGGAGGGCAGCTGGGCTAGCTGCCCTGCCAGGAGGGCTCTGCGCTTTCTTTTCAAAGTCTTCCTTAAGACCTGCAGCTGAAATGCTCCTTACTGAGAAGCCAGCCCGCCCTTCCACACCGTCCCCCTCGTTTTCTTTTCTATTTCTCCCTCTGCCAAGCCTGGACCCGCTCGCCCTGAACTTCTCCAGGAGGCGATGGACCCGCTCGCTTACCAGGACTCTAAGGCCACGCAGCTCTGAGCAGTCTGCTCCATCCCTGCATCTGTCTGGGCGCTCTGGCACTTTCCGGCAGGGAGGCTGTGCCTTTCAGGCACGGCTGCACGGGCGCAGTGTGTGCAGGGAGTGGTTGTAGGTGTTTGCTTCCCACAGTACAGTGGAACTGCTGCTCGTCCATAATGCACGGCAACCTGTGATGAGAAACCCGTCTTGACCCTGCAAAGAGCAGCGAGGTCTGCGCAGGGCTGGCAGTGCCCTGGAGAGCGACCTCGAGCTTCCTGCACTGAGCAGGCTATTTCAGCACTGAAAGGGTCCCTGGAACACGCTGGAAATGCAGGACAGGTGCCAAGACCGGTCTGGCTTATGTTCGTTCTGCATATTTGGAGATCTCAGGAGCATCAGGAGAACACAGGTAAGCTGTCGCTTCATACAGGGATGCTGCAGCTCTGAGCCATCTGCACAGGGAGAGGGTCAATAATAACACTTGCACGTGGAAAGCCCCACTGTGACTGCAGCTGCGGCAAGTCAGGGGCAGTCTCTGTGGGGACATGGTGCAGAGGGTGAGCTGTGGGGCTGGGGCAACTCCGTGGCAGGTGTCCTCAGTTGTGAATCCCAGCTCTGGGAGGCCCCTGAAACGACTTGTGGGCAAAGAAGTGTGATTTCATTTTCCTGAGAATATGCATTTCAGTCGTAAAAACAACACGTTTATCTCCCTGGTTTCAAAGTGCTTGTGCGTCTTAGTTACCATCTAAACTGATGCTTGTCTGATTTGCAATCTGTTTCAACACAAGATGTGTTTCTGTATGGTTTATATAATAGATACGTATGCCTGGAGAGTACAGGTCTTGACTCCAACAGTGTGTGTCATAATGAACTTCTCCAGTATAATGAAATGATTTCATAAACTGTGTGCTTATCTGCGACTGTGGGATTCCTGGCGCGGGGATACAAAAGGAGTCTCAGCACTAGGTACAGAGAGGGCAAAACTGGCACGTCTTCTATCCTGACATGCAAAGTGAGAGGCAGCAGCACATCTAGACTTCAAAGCCTGTTCTGCTTATGGCAGCTGCACTTTGGTTCCTTTCTCTTGCACTGAAGAAGCATTGGTTCACACTGCTGCAATTAGCTGGGCAGCTGAGACTGGCATGGAGCTTGTGCAAAGCGCTGGCTCAGGGCCATCAGGAATACCTGGAGTGTTTGTGGGGGCAGCAGGGGTAGGATGCATAGTGAGGAGAGGTGGTGATTTTTGCCAGCTGAACAGAGTGCACCTGGCAAACTCTTGTTTTCTTCCCATGCCTTCCAGTACTTATCTCTGGTTCTCCACCTGCTGCATTTGAAGGACTCCCTCTCACTGCAGCTTTCACTGAATTTCACTGGCCTTTCTTTGCAGGTTCTACTTTCTGTACCTTGATAGAGTTATGCCATCTGACACACCGATCCAAGCTGGCGGTGAAATGGCATCTATGTTGCTATTGAAATGTGTTCCTGACATGGCATCATTTAGGCAATTTGTTTTTTAGCACATAAATATGAGTGCAATGCTTCTGGAGTGTGCATCAAAGGCATCTATTCTTCATTAAGAGGAATTTATTTATACAACCTCAGCTGCATCATGATAATTAAAACCACACTTTTACTTTACAATTAATGGTTATTGTTGGCATCGGTGCAAAACTCAGCTAGTCATGGAGGAACGCGTTTCCAGTGTGAAAGATGAAGGATATGGTGAACATGTATCTCTAACCATGGGTTTCTAAATTATCTGCTCTTACATCTGCACTGAAAGTAACAGTTGGATGAGTGGTACGCAGTTCTCCACTTAACAGCCCATCTTATCATTTTCCTCTTGACTTGTATACTTAAGACTCATCATAAGGGAAGAGACTGCTATACTCGTCTTGTCTGCAGAAGGCCACGTCTAAGCAAAGCTTTAACGTTCTTTACTGCATGTTTGTTAATGGGAAGGGACTCCAGTGACAATTCTCCACCTTTCTGCACTGGACACGCTTCTCATTTTCCGCAGCTGCACTTCTTTAGTTCCATGACAACTTGAGCCAACGTAGTAACCCATGTTCTGAGTCTCCAGCTTCATCCCAGCTTTGTCCACTTTTTCACAGGAAGGATGAGGTGCAGGCAGAGGTGTGAACACTGCTTTCTGAACAGTTCCACAATGGCACCTGTCTTCCAACAGCAGGTAAGCCATCAGCATTGCTTTGCCAGCCTGGACACACCTGATGGATGTGCCTGACTTTAAGAACAGTTTGTCTGCATGGGGCTTATTGCCTAATGTTTGTAGATAGCAACAGTTGTAAGCAAAATGTGTAAAATCTTTAAATCTTTAACAAATCTCTCATTAATCCCAGCTAAGTAGATTAAAGCTGACTGTGGGCTTTAAATGGTAGCAAGCTGATCACTTCTAGGACAGAGAAAATATGTACAACAAAACATGATCAGAGAGACAGGCTGCAGCATGCAGTTCCTTTGTTCGTGGCCTAGATGAAGTGAGGATGGCAGCCAGGGCACTGGGCTTGGGTTCAAATGGAGACAAATTTTCGGTGAGATGACACTGTACAGCACGATTAAAAATATCAAAGGTGCTACAGGCAGTTACTGTCTATGCACTGCAGACAGGAAATTGAGCAGTTTTATATGAATGGCGTCATGAGAGAAACAAGGCAAGGTGCTGAAGTCTGACAGCAACATCAGGATCTTTCTCAGTGTTCAGCCTGATGGGTCCTGAACATCAGAAGGTGCTGTTTACAAACTTTGTCAGGCAATGTTCACTGGAACTGGTCTGTATGTTTAGACATAACTCTGGTTGGCAATGAAATGGTTAAATATCTTAGAGGAATAAAATTCAACTGAGTATTTGCATTATGTTTCAGTAACCGAAGGAGCAGATTGACTAGGATTACACTCTTAGCTGGAATTATTTGTGGTTTGTCTTCCTTGGAACCTGGTATTACTTTTCTAAACACGGAATCCCAAGTGCAAAGTACATAAACAGTGCTGGCTATCAGTGCCACAAGCGCTGCTGAAAGAAAGCTCCCAGGGAAGGCCAGCCTTACCTTAGTTGTGCATTCCTGCTGTAGCTTGGGGACTTGCTCTCAGCTGGTGCCCTCTCCCTTCTCACCTGCCTGCCCACTCTATTTCCTGCTCGCATCGCGCCCTGGCTCCTGCTTGCCCAGGGCCACATGCCAGCTGTCACTCTTTCGCACGTTTCGTCTGCCCTGGTGCCCTGTTTCAGTGCACTTACTTGCCTTGCCAGCTCAGTGGTTTGGTGTTGTCATTGCCTTTGACTAGTCATGGTGCTGTCCCCGGACCGACAACGACAGGGATGGTCTGTTCCAGTATCCACGTATGTGTGTTTCAAGGGCAACAGCACGATGACTGGTGCTAAAACTGACAGCAATACCTACTGAATCTGGAGTTGTTTGTCTGCATGGAAGCACTAATGGCAGTTTCTGAAGATGCAAAGTGACAATCAGGCCAATGGCAGGTTTTCTGAGTACAGAGGCACAGCGTAAATCTTAAGAAAGGACAAATGCTGCTGGACCAGCAAAGCCTGAGTGAGTCTGAGCTCCACAGCAGAACCCTTGGCAGTTCTCCCACATAACAGGCGGCGTGCTGCTCTTTCAGTCTGAGGATGCTTCCTGTACGGGGCAGGTGGTCACATCCCTGTTCTCTGCCTCACATGTGAGGTGGGCAGAACAGACCTGATACAGGTGATCCAGACCAGGCCTTCACTGTGCTGTACTTCAGCAGTAGATGGGAATATTGTGCTGAGAGTATCTGAGATCTGCTCGCCTTCCTCCCCAAATTGTCAGCTTCCTCACCCAGTAAATTGCCTAGAGGTGCAATAAGTAGGTTAATGCTTGCTTTAGGGTTAGCCTGAGGGTGAGAGTTCCCCATAGGCACAGCAGAGTTGCTTTTGTTCTGTGTGTGTGTGAGTTCATGCGCATGAAAGCCTTCAAGGTGAATCCCTACCGCTCCTGCTTCCTTGTTGTGTGCCCTTCCCTTCTCATTTCTGCCACAGCGGAGGAAACCTGCATAACCCTGTGGCTGATTAGGGAACGGTCCTCTACAAAACCAGGTCTGCTTTTTCCGTTAATTCTATCTTTACTGATATCTTCAGTCATTCTTTACAGTTTTGACTCCCTTGTTTGAGAGCAAGTAGAAAGTGCAAGGGACAACAGAGAAACAGAATAAATTTTAAAGGTGGAAATTACATCTCTGGGTCCGATTTGCACACTGCAAACATTAATATATTATAACATGGAGATACGACTATTGCTTTGACTCGTATTTCCAACATGCAGCCCATGTGTTAAATTCATTTCTTATTCTCTGGTCTCAGAATCTGGGGCACAAGCTGCAGGCAGCTGAGTGTCTCATTGAAGAGAGACAAAAAAGCCAATGGCATCTTTGGTGCTTTGAAGACCATAGCTCAGATCAAAGCAAGCTGCAGTGATCTAACTTTTGTAGGGACAGCTGCAGCCCTGGTATTGGTGCTCCAGGACACATGAGTATCTCCTTAGTGCGTGTCTTGCAGCCTGGATTCAGCTCTCTGCCAGATCAGTACGGCGAAGCAGGACTAAAGTTTTCCTCAAGATGGTAGTGTGGTGAATATTTCAAACAGGTTCAGTCAGGAGAGTCTTGTGTCTGATGATAGTAGTCTGTTCTCTGAAGATCCCAGGATGGTCTGTGACTAAAGACTCAAGTCTGTGTTCTGTTGTGTGCATAAGCCAGAGGGCAGAGAAAGGCTCTACTGCAGAACCTGGCTCTCACATACTTTCTCTGTAGCTGCTCAAGACCTGGCTCAGTCACCAAGGCCACATTCAGGTTACCACTGTACTTTTTCAACAGTAGGTTGGTTTATTTTTTACTTCAGCCTCACAAGGGCAAATGATCAAGCAAGAAGAAATGAGGTTTCAGGTTGTTTCTTAAAGAGCAACTTATTTGTTGGTCAAATACTCAATTCAGGTAAGCAGATCACAATCACAAAAAGGCAAAAGAAGTGCCAAGTCTCTGCCCCATGTGAACTGAGCTTAGTGTAGCTGTTCCTGTGCTCAGCTGCTTGATTGGTGCACGGAAGCCCAGTCCTGGATGAACCCAGGTGATGACACGGTGCGCACTGCAGCCCCCCAGCAGTGACATGGCTAAAATGGTGGTGGTGGAGCTGCAGGCGAGCTGCTCTGATAGAAGCCCAGCTGTGAGCAGCTTTGGCTGTAACAAGGTGGTTTGGGGGGTGCAGGAGCTCTGGCAGTGAGAGCCTGGGACCAGGAGGAAGCAGAGTTCTGTGCCTCTACAGGTAGGAATGTGGTACCTTTGTTTGAAGTGGCTGGAGGAATTCGTACTTTGGCAGTAGCCAACAGAAACACCTCTGTCCTGCAAGCGAGATTGAGGTGTTTCTTTCCATAGCATGCAGGTCCATGCAGATTATTGTATTAGATGGATCGTGGCCATTTGCACTCTCAGTTGCTCTTTCACTGAGAACATGCAGAAGCAATTGGTGAAATACTGATGGGTGTTTTAAATACAGGAAGTGACCAGGAAATGGGCTGAACTCAGACAAGAGAGCAGCGTGGGCAGGGCGAGGTGTCTGGCACAGCTTGGCAGGCACTCAGGCACTGCTCAGGTTTACTTGGCAGCTCTGCCTGCACACAGCCAGCCAAGCGCAGCACAGAGCTGCAGAACGAACACAGACACGTCTGTGGGATTTGCCCCCACAAAATGTGGACGTACCTACTGGAATTGTCCTAAATAAGAATATTTTAAGGCCTTGCAAAGAAGGCCGTAGGCTGCTAACTATACATTGAAGCACAAGGTGTGAATGCGTATGCTTCTCTGCCATGCATGCGAACACCCAGAAGGTGCCAATATCAGCATGTTCTGTGGGTGCAAGGAACCAAGTCACAGGCAGAGGGGCTGCTCAGACCTCCCATTCTGTAGCCAACAGACCCTTTAGAATGGAAAGATTTCTTTCCATAAGAAATCTTATGGATTTTTGCAGTGTTTTAGCTTTGATTTTCTGATTGTATTACTATAACTAAGAATTTTCTGTTTTCTCTGTGCTTTGTTCTTTGTCTTTGCTGTTGTTTCTTTTTGAAGCACCCTTCCATTTAAAACTTGAATTGTCTTTAAAATTGAAATATTTAACTGGTGAGAAATCCTATCTAAAGATTCTTATTGTCATTTAAAAGAGGCACACATTGATTAATTACCAAATTAAGCTACTCTGAACCCAAATTAAGATTTTGCTCTAGATGTTGCAACAGCTGGGTTAAATAATTTTAAACTGATTTGCAAGTGACGCTGTTTTTACTTTGGACAGGGCTTTGATTTCAGTTCTGCCTTGTCTACGTGCTTTTCCTTGCGTTCTTTTCTCATTTCTCATTCATTCTTCCATTTTTCTGTCTCCCACTCTCTGCTCTCATCCCCCAGTGTTGCGGATCCCTTTTTCTCTTCATAGCTTCTCCCTTTTTCTGCACTGTCACTGGCAACTCGCTCTTCATCTCCTGATTTCCATTTGCTGGTTGTCAGGAGCACATGCCGTCAGGTCCTCTCCCCTCTCCTCCTTCCTGCCAGACTAACTCCAGCGAAGGAAAACAAACCAAAATATGTCCATGCTGTAGTGTTGTAATGTTGTTAAGCGTTTCACAGATCAGAAGTAGACACCTGAATTCAAGCAGCTAAAATTAGAGGACACATCTAATATTTGAATTTCCGCATTCATTTTGCATTTTTAAAGTGTCGATGATAAAACTCTTTCCTCATGAATGTGCTGAGATTAGGTAATGGTCCTATTTAGGTTGTGATGAATATCATAGACATTCCCCCAAGGAAATTGCTAACAGTATTCTGTATGAGGTTTTAAAAGGGTGCAGTAAACACAAGCTCAGCCACACACTTTGTGTGAGGGAAAAAGAAATACTGACTGATTATTTCTTCTGTGTACGTTATCCACCTTATGACTGTCTGAATCCAGGGCACTGTATGATCATTAACTGGAGTCCATATTACATGCTTATACAGTAAGATCCAAATTATGCTGGCAACCTAAACTCTGTCACATCCAATTTTCTAAAAGTACTTTGTAATTGTTCTACTTTAAGGCAGTATTTTTGAATTAAGAAATCAAATCCATTCTCACACACATCTCCACACTTAGTCCAGCTAATGAAAACCGTAAGG